TGATGCTCTGTTTGAACTTCAGCAAGTCGTCTTCACAATGTCTGCATGCCTAAATGCAAAATTGGCTGATCGGAAATTTGTGTTACCAAGCAATTGAACTAGTGTACCTTATAAAGTGGCTGGTGAGTGAGTGTATGTGTGTGTATATATGTGTGTGTGTGTGTATATGTATGTGTACGTATGTGTGTGTGTGTGTGTGTGTGTGTGTGTATATATATATATATATATATATATATATATGTGTGTGTATATATATATATATAATATATATATATATATGTGTGTGTGTGTAAATATATATATGTGTTTGTGTATATATGTGTGTGTGTATATATATATATATATATATATATATATATATATATATATATATATATATATATATATATATATAAGGCTTTGCCAGAGCACAGTGTGAAAAGGAAAATGGGAGTAGGCAGTAGGAAAATTGCACAAATGATATGCAGTTATTGTGAGTGGGGAAGAATGCATTTTAACTTTCTCCAGGTTTTGTAATCCCAGACATGGGCCTGGAGTTTGAAGGCTTCATAGTGTCTTGGGTGGGACAATATCTGCATTCCTGTGTCCAGATCTTGCTGGAGACCTGCGGGCCAGGTGAATGCCCAGGTGAGTATGCTCATTATATGCAAGTCTTGACCAAATCTTAGGACTCCCTTTTTAGAGACCGAGCCCTGTCAGGAGAAGGCTGTGTGCTCCAAACAGGAGAGATGTGTGTTCCTGCCAAGAGACTGAGCCCTATGTTGGGGGGATTTCTTGCCCACATGACTGGGTGAGTCAGGAAAAGTGTGCAAGTCTGGGGAGACTGAGAAACGTGAGGTGACTAGCAAATCCAGGGGACTGGAGGAGTCCGTAAGTCTCAAGAGAATGAGAGCGCACAGGGGGACAGGCGAACAACTACTGAGAAGCCAGAAGTGGGCCCATACAGCTGAGGACTAACTGAAGTTTGAGTGATTTCGGAATGCCCAGAGAGCCAAGTCTGAGAGGTCAAAGACAAGCAGCAGTGCTGCTAGAAGGGAGGCAGGGGGCACTGCATTTTCAATTACATTTTTATGTGTAAAACTGAAATCCCCTGCGTGAAAATCAGGGGTTGAACTTTTCGTTTTCAATAAAATTGTGCCAGAAAGCCTTCAACCGTGTGTGTGTTCTGTATTATAACTTTTTAATGTAAAATATGCAAGCAAAATGTAAAACCTTCAGAGAGATGCTGCCAATTCATGATATCTCAGTACATTAATATTCAGAGCTGTCCTTATTTTACCATGATGCTCTTGCTTCTGCAGCTCATTTAAGTGTCCGTATCACTTAACCCTCCTCCTGCTTGACCTTTTACCATTGAAACCATTATCTTGTTTTGTTTTAAATCAGTTTGTTTTGTTGGGTTTTTTTTTTTTTTTTTTATAAGACTTGTGTGTTCCCTTGTTTCCAGAAAAGGGAAGATTGCTATGTATTGGATCTGTATAACATATTCCAGAGATAGATCATAAGACCCTTGACCTTATTGTTAATGTGTTCAACTATAAAATGTACAAAAAGAAAGAATCTTGTCTATAGTGGCCTATTAACAGCATACATATTTTCAGAGTTCATTGAAGGTCAGCAATGCTAGCCCCCCAAACACGTTTCATTAAAAGCAGATCTGTAAAATGTCAACAAATATAGTGTTGTAGAGCCAACTGGAAAAAAAAATAATTTATATATATATATATATATATATATATATATATATATATATATATATATATATATATATATATATATATATAGTATTTGTTTTATTTTTTGTCTGGATAGAAACTTGGAAATTGGCAGTGCAGCATTGGGTTTAAATGTCCAAAGTTTGTTTCTTCCATCCTCCCTAATTAAAGGATATATCCAAGAACACAGATGCAATATACTGTATTGTAGCTTACCAGTCCTTGGATGTTTCAAATGCATTAGTTTTCATTTTTATAAGAATATTTTCAGAATGTGAAGGAAAATGCCTGTTGATCTTGCCAGAAATGTTGTGTCCTTGTCACTTACTGTGAACCATCTGAAAGCAAAAACAATGTTATCTTTCTTCTGTAAACTACTGATCTGCTCACAGAAATGAAATGAAGAAAGGTAGAAAAGTTTAAGTCCAGTCTGTCGAATAGCCATGGCTCCTCCTTAGAGACAGTGGACAAGCCACCCTAGGACACTTCATTTCCATCTTGTTTTTAGAGCCATTTTAAAAACAAGCCAGCATTGACAGCTCACACATCCAAACACGCTTGCTACCATTGCAAAACAATCAGCAGTGGAAGGCAATAGTTTTTGTATCTTGTATTGAAAAGTAATATATTGACACTCTAAGTACATGTCTAAAAAAAACTTTTGAAGTTGATGTTATCTCCATAACAAAATCTGAATACTAGGTCTGGAACAAATAAGCAGCTGTTTCACCTTCGTGTTGACAAGGTGATGGGCTCACAGGCTGCAATCAAGTTCTGGCATAGACCGTGGCATCTCCCAGCAAAGGCTTCCTGGACCAGCATTAAAGCTGAACTCTGGGAAAACAAAGTCCTCCCTGGCTGCACCCTCACTGCAAGGGTCAAATACTTCTTTATGTCTAGGGGTACTGGGTATAGCAGTTTTATTTACCCAGTCCTTTGCTGTAGCAGGTTTCTCCATGCTGCTAGACCAGGCCCTGAAATCTTTTTCCATGGTGCGGTGGTCTAGGGTTCTATGACGTCATCCAAACCAATGCAGGCCCCTAGCCCTGCTTTAAATGTGAGGACGCCAAAGGACAGTCCACTACCAAAACATGAGGGAACGGAGATCATTTTGAAAATGCTAGTTGTCTGTATCTTTGACTGAGAATCTGGCTTCAACAGAGAGACGTCACATTTGTTTATCTGTTCCAGGTCACAACTCTGAAAGCCCTAAACCAATATGCTCAATGGGTCATTCAGACAGCTAGCATTTTCAGGAGTTCAGGAAAATCATCTCCATAGTTCTTTTTTATTCCATGTTTCTCTCATGGCAAGTGTCCTTTCAAATGTTTTTGCAACCACTTAAACCCAACTCTGAGCAGAAAACAAACCACCTCCCTTCCTTCCCTCCTACTACTCTCTAGCTGAAATGCAAAAAAGCCTTTCTAAATGCTCAACAATGCGGTCATGTGCTTTTCAGGAAAAGAACAGACAAGGGCGCACTCTCATCGTGCATTACCGTGGTAGAGCTCTGAGGAAGGGGTTTCAGCTCCCGAAACGCGTCAGCTTATCCACATCATTAGACACAGATGTATTGTGACTGTCTTTGTGGACCACTTATACTGCTTTTAATCACATTGGTTTCTGAGTGTATACCCTCTTTTTATTCAATAAACACGTGTTCTACCACGATAATGCACGATGAGAGTGTGCCCTTGTCTGTTCTTTTCCACTAGTGGTCAGATTTCCCGATCTTAGAAGGGCAGCACCTCTTCGGTTGGCATTTTGGCATCTCCTTGGTTGTATGAAGACTGGAGCGCTGGTTCTGTTCGTTTATCTTTTGGAGTGCATGTGCTTTTCAGGTCTTGATACTTCACTCTTCTTTTTCTCTCCTGGCCAGGTCCTTGTTTGCGTGTACACATCACTGCATGATGTGGACACTTCCTATTGGCTGTCCATTGGCAGGGTTCTCTCAGGATCCATAAGTGAGTAGTGACATGATTGCGAGAGTTTGGTAGGGGATCAGACAAAGAGGGACAACCTGTACATCTGGATCATAGGTCCCCACAGCAAAAAACAAGGGAATTGGAGGTGAGTATTTTTTGCTTTTTCAGGTAAGCAAAAAAAAAAATCCCTTTTTTTTATATGATAATTTAGGGTGGGAGAAAGAGATGGGAAAATTTAGGTCTTGCCCTGGAATTGGATTTTAAAGCGATATTTTTAAACCCAAAACCAAAAATGCAATATATTGCAGTTACTTACCAGAGAGAGAGACCCCTAGGGCATTAAGCCAAAATCACAACTGTAATAAACGCATTGCTATCACAGCTGAAACACAGCTGAATCGCACTGCAGGTGTTCCTTTAATTGCACTTGAAAACTGAAGGAATTTGCACTGCTTCAGTGTTAACCTAGCCTTAGATGTGATGGCTGAATTAGTTTTCTATTTTTTAGGCTTCTCTAACTCTGTTTTCACCTGGTGATCTGGCCAGTAACACACCTCCTGTATTAGATTGCCCCCATTCTGGATGAATGAGCACACTGGGGCGCATTTAGACAACAGCATTGTCAATCTTGGCGATGGGGAGGGGGGTGTTAGACCAGATTTAAACACACTAACAAACTAAAACAAACTCTAGCTCACCCTTTATAAGCAGTTACAGCAAGCAGCTTTTTTTTTCCTTTCGGGATAAAGGTTTTATATAAATAAAAAAGCTGACCTTTATAAGCACCCCTACCAGTGTTAACTTGTTTGTTTCTCCGTAATTGATACATTCAACAGGGGAGCTTGTTCTTTTGAAAAACAACAGATTTACTGTATGGATCACTAGATGAAAATAGAAGAAAGGAAGCCTAAAAAAGAAAAATAATGCAGCCATCACATCTAAAAATTGGTAAGCTGAAAATAATAAATGTTTGCTTTTGGGCTCAATACTGCTTTAAGTGTGGATTGTCATCTGCAAATAACTACTACAACAGAGTATTTTCAGCAGTCATCTTCACAAAATTGTAGATCTAGTTATAAAAGGACACTTGCACAATGTAAAATAAATGACTGCCTTTTTCACAATAATTTCCTCGACTGCGCTATTGATTCACTAGAGGCCAAGAGTCTGTGGAAAGTAGATCAGAGATCCTGCATTCAGGTCTATAAACATTTGACTGTCTAATAAATCATTTGTAGAAAAATTATGCTATGACTACAGACCTTTTGTAGAGAGTCTAAAATACAGAACATGCTGAGAATTACAAAGAATTACTGTACATTACTTCCTTACTATGGATTGTTCACAGAGCTGGATATAGGGGATGCTGGTGAGGGCTGTACCCACCCCCCCAGATCTCTGAGCATGTATCCACTGATCCATGAGCCAGTCTGATACAGACAGTTGATGTAAGGGGGACTCTATTAGGGACACTAATGTAAGGGGGCACTCTAATAGGGACTATGATGTAAGAGGGCACTCTGATGAAGACCCTGATGTAAGGGGCACTCTGATGGAGACACCTGATGTAAAGAGGCACTCTGATGGGGAGGATTGGTATAGCCTGCATTCGTCTTCCTGAATAATAACCTTTATTGAGCGAGTAAAATGCGCATCTAAAATTCTTATGTGTTTCGGCAATAAGCCTTGATGATGGCTATGACTAAGGCTTATTGCCGAAATGCGTGAGTTTTTATGCACATTTTACTCGTTCAATAAAGTTTATTATTCAGGAAGATGAGTGCTGACTATACTGATCCTCATCATTCAGTTGCATCTGTGCTGGGAAGACACACAGAGCCGAAGCACTGACATTCCACCTCCGTGGGGATTATCTCTGGGCGTAGCACCTACTTGTTCTAAACTCTGATGGGGACCCTGATGTAAGGAGGCACTCTGATGGGGATAACTGACCATATGTAAGGCACACTCTGGTGAAGACAATTGATGTAAGGGGGGAGGGGGCTTTATTAGGAACACTGATGTAAGGGGGATTCTGATGATGACCCTGATGTCAGGGGGCACTTTTGGGACATCCAATGTAAGAGGGGGCATTCTGATGGGGACACCTGATGTAAGGGGGCACTCTGATGGGGACACCTGATGTAAGGGGGCACTCTGATGGGGACACCTGATGTAAGGGGGCACTCTGATGGGGACACTCTGATGTAAGGGGGACACTCTGATGGGGACACCTGATGTAAGGGGACACTCTGATGGTGACACCTGATGTAAGGGGGCACTCTGATGAGGACACCTGATGTAACGGCGCACTCAGATGGGAACCTGATATAAAGGGGAACTCTGATGAGTAGTCATGACATAAAGTGGGACTCTGATAGGGACATATAAGGGGGGACAAGTTTTTTTTTAATAATCCTAATCTAATGAAAACCTAATACATAATAGTGTTTCCTAGGTTGTGAGACTTTGTGACAGACTGTCAGTGACTCACACGCAGTGTTGACATTATGCCCCCTGACTTTTTAACTGAACCCCCTTTCTAACTGATCCAGCCCTTGTTCATGTAATTTTTTTGCATACATACAGGTGGCCAAAAAAGTAGTTTAAAATCACTGAAATAAAGAAATTCTAAAATGTTTATAAAATGTATCTTTTCAGTATAATTGCTAGTTTCTTATGGGGCTCATTCATACTAACTGTACAAGAAAATGCTCCGTTCTCTTCAGGGTGTGGTGCATAAGACACGAGTTTCCTTTTTCTTTTCTTGACAAAGTAACATTCCTTTCAAACGCACTGACAGACCTTCAATGTGGCAAATGTAGGCATGCTGCAGAATTTGCAGTGCACCATACAGCACCTGCCAACTGCATTCTAATGAAAATAAGGCACAAAGAATACAATTGTTTTCTGTGTGCCCCTGCAGAGTCTGTTGTTTTTTTTTTTTTTTTAGTACCTCGGTAGCATCTTCCTCTTGTGAAATTCACGCACCACTCTCCTATTTAGGCTTAACAACTTTATCCACCAAGTTAGTCTAAACAGGAGTGATATGCATGCTTAAAGGGTAACTTCCACTTTTGTGGGGAAAAAATACTGCAAATTAAAAAAATATATATAACATATGTAGTTGCTACATATATTGTAGTATAATGTTATTACAAACTACTTTTTCTTTTGCAGCATTGCAATTTTCTTTAATATTCAATGCTATATAGCAACCTAAAGGCCTTTTGTACACAGTTGGTATACGGAACATCCCCAGGAATGTTCTTCTCCTGTTTGTGATTGGCTCATTGATTTTTACAGAAGCTTGCACGAAGATAAAAGTTAGATTTTAGACTTCCTCTGCAATAAAAAATTATTTTTTTTTTGTTACATGCTCCCAAAGAGTTCATCATCCACAAAGGGATGCAGACACTGCAATTTTCCTCATTGGAGAATGCAAGTGCATCAGCTGGAGACTGCAAGTGCATCTGCTTATTAAATTGAACATATACAATGTGTGATAGTTTTAATTTAATTCCTGGAATGGACTGTAAAATACAAATGTTAGCTCGCAGTATCTTTGTCCCAATGTGCTGGATGTCCGGAAAGTCATCAAATCCGATTCCTTCTAAGGCATTTTTCAAATTTTGGAAACCGCAAAGAGTCGCAGGGTGCCAAGTCAGGGGATTAAGGTGGTTGGGCAAGTTTCAAAATGGATTTCCAGACCAGGAACTTGCAAACACTTAATGCATCATGTGCAGGAGCAGTGGCATGGTGGAGAATCCACTTGTCAGGTCAGATTTCTGGTCGTTCTCTCTGAACAGATTCCCACAACCTTTTTAGAATTTCCAAGTTACAATGTTGGTTGACTGTTGTACCATTTTCTATGAACTCTTAGTGAATTTTCCCCTTGTGAGCAAAAAAAACACACCAGCAAAGGTTTTGAACTGAGACATGGACGAGACATGCATGCTTTTTTTGGATGAGGTGAATTCTTTGTTTACCTGCACCTTCTTAAATCACCTATGCCATTTAAAAAAAACTTGATATCTTCAAGGATTGTTCACCATAAGCCTAATTTAACAGAGCTAACACTTTTGCAAATTTTCAAACAAAATGTGATTTTAATCCGCTGCTCCAGATTCCTGTCACTCATTTTCCACCAACAGCACAACACACATGTTATTTCTTCTATTATTCCATAAAGACTGAATCAGTCTGTGATCCAGGCAAATGCAAGTTAGAACATGTCAGAACAAACTCGAGTGCAAATGGCTGTGTGACTTACCACCATAGACCTACGCCGCAGGCATTCCAGGCATTAAATTGTCACCCCTTGTACACTTCCATTTAGGAACCAGCCTTCGAAGGACATAGTAGAACACACAGCTTTTTCTACAGAACAAGGTAGGTAGGAATCGGCAACAAAGTTTGTTAAAAATTCTTGTAATGTACATAGATCACCCATAGGGAATTTTTTTTCTCAACAAAAGTGGAGTTTTTCTTTAAACTAAGCACAAGCCAAAAATCCTCCAAGTACAACCCCCATAATGCACCTAAAAGACCTAGGCATACCTCAGACAGTGCAAACAAATGATTTCCCAGCAGCACTTGCCAGCCAGCCTGCCAACAAGCAATTTGACCCTGTCTAACAGTTTGCATTAAAAATAGAGGGTTTTGTTTGCACACATTTGCAAATACTTGTCCGACATCAAGCGTCCTCTATATACTGTGGACTTAACTAAAATTTCCAAAGCCTCCATAGTAGGAGTACATGCATCAATGGATAGGTTAAGGGCAGGTATGCCTGGAGGAGCCCATTCCTCCTTAAAGGTACAGGGACCGCATGTGACACCCAGCTATACCAAAATAACAGCAAAGGCATCCAGTGCATCCCTGCATCCAAATTAGCCAACTACACAAAAAATGGCAACCATCCCAACCTATAACCAGCCTTAACAGAAGGGTGCTAATGGAAGGGCAATGCACATCGCATACAAACAAAGGATTTCCTAGCAACACTTACCAGCTAGCCTGCGAAACAACCAATTTGTCCCTGTCTAACAGTTTGCATTAAAAACAGAGGGTTTTGTTTGCACACATTTGCAAATACATGTATAAGCTACAGTCCCACGTCAAGAGATAGGTTAGGTGCAGGTGTGCCTGGAGGAGCCCATCTCTCCGTAAAGGCACAGGCAGGCACGCCGCCCAGCTATACCAAAATGACATCAAAGGCATCCAGTTTGTCCCTGCATACCTCAGACAGTGATGATCTAGTAGCTAAGAAAAATCTTTCCTTTTTCCTTTTAGCTTTTTCATATTGCCCTTCTTTACTTGTGGTTAGTGAAATGCTGCTGTGTAACATGGCCAAGCACATGGCAGACAAAAGGCTTGAGGCCAAATGGCAGCAACTACCTCCAGGGAGACATCTGTAAACTGGCTGGGAAGAGTAGGGCCAAATCATTGTTTAAGCTGCTTACTTACAGTCTTGGAAGTACATCAGCTTCTGTTGCTGTAACTTGGATTCATGCCCACCTTACTGAATCGCCCCAAGGGTGGGCAACATGCATTACCTTGTTCTCCTGCCATAGGCCAGAGGAAATATGCGAAGCACAGCCAACAATGCCACTAGAGCTGACACCAATACTTCATGGGGGGAGGGGGTCCAGTTTAGACAAAAGGGAAACTCTCAGGTAAGAAGACAGGACACATAGCTAAAGTGGGGGGGGGGGGCTTTTAACCTTGCTCTGGTTTGTGTTTTCTGTGGAAAGTGGAGCCAATTATCTTTCAGGTAGCTATCCTTTAAGAAGATTATGAAAGTCACACAAGAAGGGCTCCCTCGCGTGTTAGAATTATTTAAATTGCAGCAATGTTATTAAAGGTGATTTCAGTATCCCGCAAGATAATAAAACTCCAATTTTTCCCCACATGTAGTCATTTAGCTGTAATATAAAACAATACTAGTACAATGCCCTTGCAGATCGGCCTCAATAGGACATATATGTCACACTGTCAATATTAGACTTAACAAGCACAGACATCATTAGGATTGTATTAGAGATGCCACAGAGAAATATCAAGCCCTGCAGACAATGATATTGAATGAAGTGAAAAAAAAACATGTTGCATGTCATGTTAGAGACAATAAACATCATGGATCTGCCCTTGGATGGCTTTGGAAGAAATACAGATGTTTAACATCTACGTTTTTAGTTCGTTTTTTTTTGGGGTGATACTTATATTCAATGAGATGTGTACCTTCTACTGGTGGCTGCTCTTTTAGTTAAAATTGTCGGTCCTCTGCCCCCAATACCCCCACATCATTTGACTGTACCTGCCCCTTTCACCCACCTTTTCCATTCATAAAAGCAGTACTATAGCTTCCAGCAATGAAAAGTGCTCTATGAGTGGGGGATGGGCAGATGAATGAAAAGTGAAGCTCCTCTTCCAAGTGGGATAGCAGAGCCCAAGACACCCCCAGGAACTGCACAGTGGGGGTTGTCAGGTAGAGGGGAGACAGACCAATAAACATCCATTCACAGATCTCCTTTTAGCTAGTATAAACCCGGAAGCAGTGTGTATTGTGTTACTTCTGGTTTCTCAACCACTGTTCCCAGGGAAGATATAATTTTTTTTTTTTAAAATAACAAACACTGTATACTTACCTGCTCTATGCAAAACAATGGTTTTTCATAGGGTGACCCCAAACTTTTTTTTCTGGGGTCCCCCACCGGCTCTCTGGGCTCATTTTCCCTTCAGACTGCCCCCACAGCAAGCAACTTGCTATGAGGGGGGCGCTCATGCTGGCTCAGTCCTGAGTCGAGCTGTGTATGTATATTCAGCTCCCCGCTCTCTCTGCTCTTAGGTTTTTACTGACGGCAGCAAAAGCCAATGGCTCCCACTGCTTTCAGCCAAGTGCACTGGATCGAGATCAGGTACGGCAAAGTATTGCGGGGGAATCTACTATTGAAAGGTTTTTTCCTTAATGCAGAGAATGCGGTAAGGTGAAAAAAAAAACCTTTTGCTTTTACAAGCACAATCTGTGCTCCTTTAGCTTCAGTGGTGAGCAGCAGAGCCCTGATGTCTTATTAAAGAGAACTTTTCACTAAAAATATGCTGTCACATACGGGGGAATTTTGATGGCAAGAAGTACCCAGGGCTGTGCGAAATGCAGTCCCCAATAGACCTCTCCCTTTTAAACCAAGGATGCAACAGGACTACAAGTCCAGGGGGACCAGAGAGCTGCAATGGCAAAATAGGGAGAGAAGAAAGCTCAGG